TCACCAATTAAATGTTAAAAACAGTGATGGATTCAGGTAATCTAACCAAGATTGAGTTAAGAATATTTACCCCAATGTTTTTTCTTGAAGATATATCAAAAATCGCCTCTGCTCAAGCTCCAAGTTGTTAAAAATAGCGAATGGGACGAAACCCCCCTATTTTTATAACTTACGGATCTGTCCAGGATGACCTCGATCGTGGAGTCCGATCCTGGACCTCGATCATGAGAGTCCGATACTGAACCTCGATCATGGGAGTCCGATCATGGCCCTCGACCCTGGGGCTCGATCACAGCCGTCGATCCTGGCTATCGATCATGGCTTCGATCCTTATGGCCTTCGATCACTGGCCTTGGTCATAACCCTCGATCCTGGGCCTTCGATCAGTGGCCTTCGATCATGGATCTCGAGCCTGCCTTCGATCCTCGGCTCGATTTCTGGGGGCTCGATTGCACAGCATAAGAGAATTTGCAGCAGCTTTTGCAGCAGCTATTTAAGTCCCATTTTTGATCCGTTAACCATCCGAAACTCACCCGAGGCCCTCGGGACCTCAACCCAATATGCCAACAAGTCCTAAAATATCATACGAACTTATTTGAAACCTCAAATCACATCAAACAACGCTAAAATCATGAACCACACATAGATTCAAGCTTAATGAACTTTGAAACTTTCAATTTCTACAAACAACACCGGAACCTACCAAATCAAGTTCGATTGACCTCAAATATTGCACACAAGTCATAAATGACATAACGGAGCTATAAAAATTTTCAGAATCGGATTTCGACCCCGATATCAAAAAGTCAACCCCTCGGTCAAACTTCCCAAAAATTCAACTTTCGGCATTTCAAGCATAATTCCACTACGGACTTCCAAATAAAATTCCGATCACGCTTCTAAGTCCAAAATCACCATACGGAGCTGTTGGAATCATCAAAATTCTATTCCGGGGTCATTTGCACATAATTCGACTTCCGGTCACTATTTGAACTTAAACTTTAAATTTTTCATCAAAATTCCATATCTCGGGCTAGGGACCTCGGAATGTGATTCCGGGTATACGCCCAAGTCCCAATTCACGATACGGACCTACTGGAACTATCAAAATACTGATTCGAGTACGTTTGCTCAAAATATTGACCAAAGTCAACTTAGTTGTGTTTTAAACATCTAATTCACATTTTAATCCATTTTTCACCTGAAAACTTTCCGAAAAATTTTACGGACTGTGCACGCAAGTCAGAGAATGATAAATAGTACTTTTCAAGCTCTTAGAACACATAATTAATTATTAAATTTAAAGATAACATTTTGGGTCATCACAATTGCAATGGTTAGTTGGGGCTATTGCAATGGTTAGTTGGCTTCTGCAACGGTTTTCTTGAGGATATTGCAACGGTTTGGTTGTTTATTAGAACAGTTACTAGAAGCTATTGCTATGGTAAACGAACCTATTGTAATATTATAATAAAGCATAATACAAATATCCAACTAGTATTATCAATATATAAAAGCAAAATATATATATTATTGTTTAATAATCCAAGAGTCAGCATACATAAGTTTGCAAAAACATTTAAAAATCAAAGGTTCCTACAACATTTGAAGGTCTAGCAACGATCAACCAATACTATTATAAGTTCTTCACAGCTTTCTTCTTCCGTTTGTTCATTTGCTTCACTTACAAATTTAATAAGCACAACGGTATTCAGCAAGTATGAATAAGAAAAAGAAAACACTTTCTCAATGTCATATTACTTTCTTTTTTTTTTGAGAAGGTAACGGATTCTAATATATTGATAAAAGATGTTCAATTACTACTAACACTAGAGAAAACATCTGACATATTGTTCAATTATCCAGCACACTTATCCATAATGTCACCCACAAGATTATTTGATAACCAATATACTATTATAGGTCATAAGTCAAGACACTAAGTTTGATGTTCGAGTTTAAGATACCAATTCAATGGTTAACAACAATTTGTAGAGCCATAAATCAAATCTTTGTCAACTAATGAAAGCAACTTCTTTGCATATGGTAAAATAAATTAAGACTTTCATTTAGCTATTAGCATTTAATTTCATACCAAATAATATTAGTACTATATTAGCATGTAGCAGAACTACTATAGCCAAATGAATGTATTCATAGCAGGTAATTTGGCAATTATAAATAAATATAATGGAGTAGCACACAACAACTGATAACCCTTCCATCCAGCAATTCTTGCTACCAGGTCAAGACTCTTTCACTGGTGAAACACACATACTTCAAAACCAACAAAGAGATACCAGTGACCTAGTCTCAGACATCAACTTTTTCTTTTTCTTTTTAATTTTTCTTTCACTTCATGTTTTTAGCATCATAGAAGCTCAATGAAGAATCTACAAAAATTCTTGCGGTGATATTCCAACTCAGTACCCTTATTGTTCTTCCTCAATTGTTCTTCATTTAAAATAAAAGAAAGCAGAAGAAGTGCCTAATTTTAAAGTAACTTCTTTATTCTCATCCATGGAAACAAGGAATTGTTTAAATATTTAAACATAAATCTTTAAGAAAAAGGATAAATCAAAACTCATCTTATATTCCATTATAGTTCTTGAGTCCGGGGTACATTTCTCATCTCTTTGTTACTAACAAAGATTACTTTTTTTTCAACTTTTGATGATTATACTATGTATACAACTTCTTTGAATCTTATATGTTAATCAAGAAAGGAAAAATATGAGTACATGAACTATTAATACACTACATAATCTTTAGTTTTTGATTAAGCTGCATCTTCTAAAAATTTTATGACGTTTTTGGAGATATAAGAAAAGAGTCGTAGGAAATCATTTATCCTAAAAACTTATTAAGAATGGTAAGAGATTGTTTAGGAATTCAGCCTCGGCATCTAACTATGTAAAATCGTTTACTAACAAGAATTCTAAAGAATTTTTGGTGCTTACTTGAAGGTAATACTTAAAGAGTAGTAGTAATTTTAAAGATGCTTACCAGTTTCCCATCACTCATCTTCTCTCGTCCATCTTGCAAATATTACCAATGCATTTGTGTTCACAAGTTATATCCAACTAACATAGCTGAGTTGTGTTGGTGAGGCTCCAACCATCGGGAAGAAACTGTAGGAAGAAAAGAGTAAGAAGATAATTGACCTATAAATTAAATGATTACAGTCTACTATTACAAAATAATTCTATATGTTTCAATATTCTGAATTTACGGTACCAAAATATATATAAGGCCTTAGTTGTGGCGTAACCATATAATTAGAAAAAGATACTTTTAAACATAGTGATATGACAAACAATAACATGACAAGTAAAATTCTTTTTTGAAATAATTGTAACTGTCTTTTTGATAAGTTCTATATTCATAACTTTAAAATGCAAATAGGATAGGGAAGTACTTGAATATTTTTTACTGCAATATAAGGGTCTTGATGGTAGGGTTGTGATTCAACTTTGTCCTTCTTTCCCGTCCACAAAAAAAAAACATAAAAAAACTACCTGCTGCACCTATAAAACCAAGCAAGTCCAGATGTCGTAATGAAGTAAAAGAAGTCATAGGATATATGAGACATAATACAGTTGAGAAGACTAAAAGTTGATAAGCAACAAACATGAATAGGATAAATACACATGATCGCTTCATGGATATATTTGTTGTAAGTAGAAGACTGCATCTCTAATTCATGATAAGTCTCTTGGTTGCATTACTCTTTTAATAGAACTTCTGGTGAAAGATAATGTCAATTTGGTAAGGCATTTCATGGCTTCTCGAGAGGTAAGTATTGTAGTCTTCGACAATTGTACAATAAAACTATGGTTCTCAGTTCGATAACAAGTTCTGAGTATTAAACATATGATATTGATCATCAAATTGCTTCCCACGTTTAACACCGTAGAGTAGATAGACTGAATTACAAAATCTAATACAATTTAGTCTTATGTGTATCCATTAAAAGTGCATTCATGCAAAGCACAAAGTGCCTATCTTTAAGAATGCACTAAAGATAAGGCTACATTTTATCTACTCGCGTCTGATACCAATCAATTCGTAGATTTTGTAAACAAACTTAGCAGCAAACCATAGTTTAAACTTCCATAAAAGTACACTGAACACATAAAGTGCCAGAAAAACCAAGCATAAAAGAAAGAACCTTAGCATGTCAAAATCAGATACTATATTTATTATTTTCACAACAGTCTGGAAAAATAATTTTTAAATAAGGCAAGATATTATTGGGGAATAAAGGCACTAAGAAAGTGCTAAAGCTTTCTGAAAGTTGTGCAGGAAGCTAAGCCTGCCAAAATCACAACCAACAACAATAATCTAGCAAAATGTAAAGCATGTGTATAGTTAGAAAATTGAAGTGCGACAATCAGAACCAACAGCAAACTAAACCATACATCTATTAAAAGATACAAAACCCCAATCGTAAACCCTCGTCCCATCTTGAATCTCCAAAATAAATCAACAAATGAAACCCAAAAATTAAAAGAGACGCCGAAGGAGCAAAATTGAAGAAACACAAACCTCATTAAAGAAATAGGAAATTAAAAAGCCAGGTGCAAGATAAAAATATTAACAAAGGAAAAAACGAGGTAAAGAAATAAAAATGAAGAATAGAGAAAGAGACCTTGGTACCTTAAGTCCTAATGATGAGTATTTTGCAACGTCCTATGAAGCAATTGCTAATGGGTATTCTCTGTTTGTGAGGCGCTGACCTGTTTCCATGGCTGTGGCGTGAGGTGGAAGACGTCAAAGTGTTGGGTAAGTTACAGGTGTGCTGGGGAAGTTTTCATTGTTCTAGGTCTTCTCAGTTTGCCAACGATGAAGGTGCTAGGGTTTTGGGCATTGGCGGATGAAGCTTTACCAGAGGTGTGTGCATTGTTGTAGGCACTACTAGAAATCCGCTAAAAACCGACCAAATATTTCTGACCAATGTTGGTCGGTCAAAAAAAGCGATCAAAAGCCGTTCAGCTTGGACGGAAACTGAAAAAAAAATTATATTTTTTTAAAACTAAATACCGACCAACGTTGATCAGTAAACTGGTCAACGAATTGACCCAGCTGGTCAGACTTGCTTAGTCAAAGAAANATAATTATTTATAATAATTCCATAGTTAAATAAAATAAATGCTTGTAGTTTATAATATATATTTTTATAGTTTATAATATTTTAAGAAAAAAAATACAAAAAAAAAAAAAAGAATTTAATTTTTTTTTTTAAAACCGACTAAAGTTGGTCGGTTTTCGATCAAACGGTCAACACTTAATGTACCGACCAAAATTACCGACCAACTTTGGTCAGTAATTCTGAAATCATAATTGAAAAACGGGGGAACCCCCATTTCTCTCTTATTTTCCCCTCTCCTTCTTTATTTCCCTCACTCAAAACCTTCCCCCCTCCTTCTCTATTTCCCTCACATAAATCTCATTCCCCACCCCGCGTCGCCACCGCCCAGTCCTCGCCGTCGCCGCTGCCACTACCTCCCCTCTCCTTTTCCATCTCATAAAAATTATAGGTTTGAATTACAACCCATTTATTTATTATTTCTAGGTTTTGTTAATTAGTTATGAATTAGTTTCAATTGATTAGTGTTTCAATTATTTGAACATTACATTTTATTGAGGATTAGGGTTTAGGTCTTATTTTAATTAGTTTTGTTAATTAGTTTTATTAACTAATTAGTTTTGTTAATTAGTTAATTAGTTATGAATTAGTTTTAATTGATGAGTGTTTCAATTTTGAGTTTGTATTGTCTTGAATAGTTTAGTTAGAATTGAATTATTAACTTTGTATTGTCTTGAATAGTTTAGTTAGAATCTAGGGTTTACGATTTGTTCTTGT